GGTCAACGAAAGGGCCCAAGCAAATAGGCCTTGGTAACACAGTGGATTTTCAGGTGTTCACACAGCGACACCGATACGGCTTGCCGTATTGATACAGCGACACACTTTTTATATATTTTTATATTGTTTAAAATTAAAATTTTCTCAAAATGGTTTAAATTTCACATTATGTTGGGATTACGCACGCGATAAATGCGTCGAACTCATTGCAAAACAGGCTAGAAGTTTCAGCTCCGAATTAATAGACATTTTCGGCACATTTTAAGCGTTTTTTGAGCGTTCACGATCTTTATCCGACGATTTCTTCGTTATTATTGACCCAAGCACTTTATAAATGCATATTTGTGACCTTCTTGTGTCAAAAAGAATCGATTGAGCTCAACAAACAAACATTTTGATTTTTGGTCGAAATTTTTCCAAGGGTGAGGGTCGATTTTTTGGAAAAATTTAACTTTTCTCAAAATGTGTGAATTTCACATCATTTTCAGCTCACGATCGAGAGGAATGTATCGAACTCATTGAAAAACATGGTAGAACACATACATTTCATAGGGAAATAGATACAATAAATGAATCCACATAACTATTTTGGGGCCAACTTAAGTAGCAAAGAATTTTTTTACACTTTGTATCAAAATGTCCAATCCCAGAAGCGTCGACTGGTACTACCCGAAAAAAGAACAAAAGAATAAAGGAAAGGTGCAGAACACGAAATAAAAATGTAATTTTATGTTTCCAAATGTGCACTTTCAAGGTATGAAGAAGCAAAGTACGACTCAAATCACGATTTTTTACCTGAAAAGAAGCGACATAATACATCCAAAATAACTGAAATATTCGTCACTATGATGATTGAGGCAAGTTCTTCGAAATGCCTCCGCGTTTCCAACTTCAAGCAACATTGCGGAACTCTGTATGATTTGTTAATAACAAAGTACCAAAAAATATAAACAAAAAAAAACAATATACGAAATTCTGTATAAAACTGATAAATCCTCAGCAATTTAATCAAAATTTTTACGCCTCCATAACTTAGAAATGTAATGTGCATACGCGTAGCCAGACACTGACAACATATAATGGCTGTGGATTGATCAAAGGTGCATAAATTCAGAGTCATTTAGTTGAAATTTAGGCCCTCCGGCTAATGAAATAAGAAAAAGAATGAATGTATTTTGAGACGATTGTCAAAGCAAACCCGTAAATGTCTTCTTTCGAGTGGCAAATGTCCTAATTAAGAACTGTTTATGACGATCTAAATTGGTAACTCGTTTTACCTTTTCCCGTATGATTCATTCAGCTTAATGATTAGTAAGTTTGAACTCGATGAAATAAAGTATTTTGCTTGAAAATTGCATATGATAATAATGAACATTGAATTGAATTTAAACTGTAAACTTGCCTGTAGAATGATTTGTTGTAAGCAGGATGATTATAAATCTACAGATTGGGACACCGGATCTTATACAAAAATGTCTTCCCATAACTTCGTCGAAATCCCAGGCCAATAAAAAACCATTTTTGTAAAACAAGTATATTTCGAACCAGTTGTAACAATAGATGGGTAGACAAAACACAATGCACATTTTTTATGCGTTTAATAGTCATTGCCTTAATTCTAATATAACATCCCGATACCGTAAAAATGTAATTACTAAACACGTAAATTGCTATTTATCTGCATTTGCGATGTTTGCTGGACGATTTTCGAATTCATTTGAAAAACCAAATTATTGGAAGTGATAAGAATAAATGAATAAAATGTTCCAATTCTCTACAACATTTATACAATAAAGTCGAAGCAATTAAATAACAGAAACACGTTTCTATTTATTGTCATATTCACATTCTAAGCACATCCTAATTCAACTGCAAAGTCATCAAATATTTCAATATTATTAATTATTGGATTGTTCGGAGCGAGTACTTTCGTTTCGTTCCCGAGGAAATGAAAGACGATTCCAAGTTCATAAAATGTTTGGCTTTTTTGCAGGAAGCAGGATAATTTAATGATCAAAAGGTGCCAGGTCTGGAGAATATGGTCGGTCCATCCAAAAAAATTGTATAGTCTTGCAAAATCTTGGTGAAAATGTCCACCTTTTCCATGAGTCGATTCTGGCCTCTACTGTTTGAGTAACAGTGGACTGAAGAATTGAGTTACACCAAACAAAAAACCAATTTTTGAAAAATTAATATCGGCTTTAATGAAGCTTTGAGGTGATTCGTATTTTTTACTTTATGATCTCCTTCATGTAAAATTGCTTTTATCAACCCATTTCCTGTCCCAGTGATTATCTACTGGAAAATATATAATTTCTACATGAGACAATGTTTCGTCCGAATGAACCTGAATCCGTCCCGAACAACCCAATAGTTACAGTTATAGTTAACTATAGTTCGTCCCGAACAACTCTTATTAACCTTAAGCATAATTAAAATTATGCTTGAACGAGACTGAGCTCTTCTCGATCAGCATTAATTTTTTTCCGTTTAAACAAATTAAATATGATGTACAACAGTGCAACAAAAATGGAAAGCAACAGTAAATTCTGAAACACTATTCCTGAAATGGCATTTGTTCCGTCGCGGATTTGTTCTAATATTTCCTTCGACTCATGCCCTTGTTTTATCGTGTCATCTTGTCCACTTAAGTGCGTAGCAACGTTTGAGTCTGTGGGCTTTTCGTTAAAAGTCCCCGTACTATTCGAAAGTGTTTTTCTCAGAAAAGTTCCATCTTTATTTGTGTGTTCAGAATGAGCTTCAACACCAATAGTCTTAATGCGCTCTTCCAAATTCACCAGTCTTGGCAATATATTATTAACAGTTTTGATTAAATCATTTCTAACTTCTTCATGCAGGTTGTTGATATTTGTAGCAGAAATTTCCCCGTTAAAGTTCGCATCCTTTATTGCCTTACTGATGTTTGATTTAAAGCTCTCTATATTGCTGATTGTGTTATTTATTTGATTAGCATTCGCTTTCATTTGTGTCCAAAGATCGGTTAAATCTTGTTCGGTTTGGTTAGTTTTCAGGTCCAAATACGCTACTTGATTAAGAATGGTTTCATTGATTTGGGCATGAGTGACATTGAGTTGGGATTCCAGATTTTTAATTTTTAATAACAAATTGTCCAGCTCAGTCACTAATGCATCAAAAGCTATATCTTGACTAAAATCACTTCGAGATTCATTAGAAAGGCTGGTATTATTTGTAAATGTTTCGGTGCATTTTACGCCTAAAATATTGCTACTGTTATGATAATTTCCTTGAATAACACCAACAGACCGTGTTAGAAGCATAAATATAATATTTCTTAATTCTGTACATGTCCACAGATTATTATTTAGGTCAACCGATTTCAGCATTGCAAAATTGTAAAAAAAGGTCGCCCAATTATTGTATGATCCAAACGAGCTTTCAGCAAGTAAATTGTTGGAAATGTTGAGAGAGGATAATTTTTGCTGATTTCGAAAACTGCCTGTAGGCAGACTCTGCAATTTATTGTAACTTAAGTCTATATCTGCAACATTAACTGCATTTAACATCGAATGGTCATCGATTTTTACCAGTCGATTATGACTTAAATTTAACGAGACTAAATTCTCGCCAAGTTTTAAAGAAAACTCAGTTAAATTGTTACGACTGATAATTAAACGTTTCACATCTTTATTGATACTAACGTTTTCTAATTTATTAAAGCTTAAATCCAACTCATTCAAGATAAACTTGGAATACTTTGGCATCTCCACCTCAAAACGAACCATTTCGTTGTAACTTAACTTCAGGTTCTCTAAATGCATTTGACTTTCAAAAAGGTTTTTCGGAATATTCGATATCTTATTATGACTCAAATTGATATCAAACAAATCTAAAATAGGTTCAAACGCATCAGTTAAGTTACTTATTCGATTGAATGACAAATCTAATCCTTGCAAGCCATTTAAATATCGAAAGTCGTGTACGCTTATAGATGTTAAGTTGTTGCTGCTTAGATCTAAATACAGTAAATTTGGGAATGAATAGAAAAATGCTTCTGGAATAATACCGATGTCATTTTCTGAAATATCAAGTTTCTTAATTTCATTGTTACGCCAAGAAAAATCGTTTTTATATGTGGTAAAGTTTCCTGCTGTAATTTTCAGTTCCATCGGTGAATAGGATCGCAGAATGCGAATAGAATTAAATAATTTCTTTTGATCAGCTAAATCATATTTGGAACCAATGCACAAAAACTGTCGCAATTGTATATTTTCCTTTCTAAATATGGCACATGACAAACAATATTGTTGATTGGGTATGGAAGCTCTGTACGTTCGTAGAACAAATCCTTGTTCGGAACAACTTGAAATCCCTTTAGACGGTCTCAACATCAGAACAATCAAAACAACATTAACAAATACTCTGGCCATAATTTCCTAAAAACAACATTCACATAACATCTTTTAAAACTGTGACTATTAGAAACTGATCTACTTTTGATGGCAACTGCGTATCAAATTTGAATGTATCCAAACGAACTCCAGTTTAAAAACCTCATTAATATGAGGTTTGGTTAGTTTTCGGATTTATTAATTTTTATGAAAGTTGCAAAAACTTTAAAAAAATTTTCATGGAGTGAGGAACAATTCTTAAAGCCAGACAAGAAAAAAAACAAAGCGACAGGACACAACAGCTTTTTAAACTTTGATGTTAAATAACCAAAATAAGGTGTTAAGCGAAATATTACTTAGAATAATACAATTTTTTAAATAAGAAGACTAATTTTATTGCTTCTATAAAACGCTACATTATAAACAATATTACTTATTATAGCTTTACATCTGAGCCACATCTTATTTAATATAACATATAATATAAAAACATACATGAGTCCTAGCTAAAAGCAAACGTTACACAAATGTTTGTAATTCTATAAAATTTAATTTACAAAAAAACACATTCAGTAGCCAGGGTAAGCGAATGGCGTTATAAATTGCAATGAAGTATTAGCAGAAGCTGAATACAGCGTGTAAATCATTTCGAAGAAAGTAAAAAGATATAGCACAAACAGGGTGTTCCAGATAAAATGCTACATGAATTGTTACGGCCAATTTTTGGATTATTCAAAATATACATAACAATTCAAATTAATAACAAAAGTAAATGAAAACCTGTTGCTTATATGGACAACCATTGTTCCCAAAATAAATACAATAATAATGTAGCAATACCAATATGAACCTGAAAAAATGTTGTATATGAAAATGGGATTGAGAGCAGGTCCAGTTTTATTAGAGAATTTATACAAACAGCATCTGACGACCGAAAAAGTAATAATCTTGAAGTTCCAAAAGTTCTTCAGAAAAATCAGATTGAGGCCGATACGAATCCGCTAGGAATCAGCACCAATTACCAATGCGATGGTTTGGAATATTTTACGGAAGAACTTTTGAAGGCACTCTAAAAAATTGCTATTGAAGTTTGGACAAAATGCAGATTTTGTTTTCAGGTAGGAGTGTTGATTACAAATATAAGCGCAGATGGAAATTGAGAATGTCTAGTATTTTACGGACAGAGAAGCCCTATTTCTCTCCCAATAATGGAGTAAATACGGCTAATGACAAAACGAAACCGTTCGATGAGGAGTTACACGTAATTTCATTCAGGATATAAAATTGCTCAAGAAAATAGAATTTCAGATTGCATCTCCAACTGTTGTGGTGAATGATACTGGCAAATGTTGAAAGTTTACGCAATTTTATAAGAGACTCGAACCCGAACCAATGGGAAATATGTAGAATGGACCAGTTTTGCACATTTCCCAGGCAGTTGAGGATTTGTCCAGACATTTATTGTCCATTAACATCGCCTGAGCTTAAGCCAGCAAATGGATGTGGGATTATTTCAACAGAAACGGAGTTTTTAACACTAATTTGAAGAGTATTGGGGATAGTATGACGATGAATAAGAGATGCGTGAGAGAATGAAGTGACTCGTGGAAAAATAAAGCTCGCTTTAATAAAGGATTCAAACGACGGAAACGTGGTAAAAAATGTGTGGAATATTCCACAAAAATGTTCTGTCATTGCCGTTTTCGAAGAAGCAAGAATTATCAAGTTTCTTCCTTTGAATCCATGATATGATCACACCGCTACTAAATAAAGTTGGCTGGTCGAACAAGAAAAGTGGTCAAGATTCGACTACACATGAAAAGCTTATTTTGTACAGAACTCAAGTCCTAAAATGATTTTTGAAAAAAATACATTTCCGTTCAATAATATAATAACTGATATCAGGATAACATCAACAATTAATTAAAATTTAATTCAGAAACACTTTAGAATATTAATCACTAAAATCACTTATTTTAGCTGTTATGGCCGTGTGGAACACCATGTGTTTGTGTTACAAGATCTACGCATTCAATCAGGGATACACAAAAGCATTG